CAAGTAGCTCATGTCTTGGCTAAGCAAGTCTCAGATGATAATTGGATGTCAGGATGGGTGAGTGGCAATCAGCCCCGGCCTGTATTATTCATCTGCTGACTGAAGATTGTAATCCTGATGCTATATAATCAATAGAAGCTCTTTGTCGCAAAAAAAAAAAGATATAATTCTTTTTTCCCTCTCGACTGACATATTACCTAAAAAAGTAACATCATTAAATTCTTAAATAAATTAGAAAAATACGAACATCCAAGTTGAGAATTGATCTAGAACCAACTATAGACAAGTTACACCACAAGCAATCTAATTAACCAGTTGAGCTTTTTTCCTGAGACAAGCATTAACCAGTTGAGATACTCCCTACGTCCCCAAATAAATCAATTCCTAGAATCCGTGCCAGTCGAACTTTTTTAAGTTTGATTAATTTTATAGAAAAGTGTAACAACATCTATATCATAAAATGAGCACCTTATAAAAATATATTATATGATAAATCTAATGATATTAATTTAATACCATAAATCTTTATGTTTTTTCTAAAAATCCGGTCAAAGTTTAAAAAGTTTGACTTAATTAAGACAACTCTAGGAATCTATTTATTCAGTGATAGAGGAAGTATGCTCTATCGGTTCACTAGAAAAATATATTGATCTGGTTAGACTTTAAATGGTTTGAGCCAGTATTTAAAAAGTTGGACAATGCTACGGTACTCTTACCAGGAGGTTACCTTAAACAAATCTGAATCCTTGTTTTTTAAGGATAAATATATAATAGAATACATTTGTGTGGTATCTTAGAGAGCATGTACAGACATCCGTACATGCTAACACGTTTTGCACAGCAACACGCTAACATGCACCAGTAATCACGTTCAAAATCACCTTTAGCAATACGGCAACACGGTAGACCTAAAAGTCTGTACCATGTAATAAGGCATGGCAATACATCAACACATAGGCTCATTTGGTAGAGCTCTCGTCGGCTCAAGCTTTTATGACGCATGCACTCACCGAAGCTTTTTTTTCTCTCTCCTCTCTCATAGAGCCGGTGGAGCCCGTCTTTTTTCTTCACCTAGCTTCACCAGCTCTGTAAGAGAAGGAGAGAGGAGAGAGAGAAAAAAAGCTCCTGTGAATAGAAGCTGGAGCTAGTATGAGCTCTACCAAACGGGGCCATAATCACGTACAGAATCACATTGTGTGTAAATCAAGTGTATCAAGTCATATACAAAATTATATGATATATCATAAATATATCAAGTCGGAAGTTGCAAAATAAAAAAAAGATTTACCATATTTGTCAAACCATGCATGCATCAATCAAATCTAGAAAAAAATATTTGTTATATCTCAAACTTTCCTTATTTATCCTAGTTTACAAAATAAATAAATATTTCACATATTACCTCCTGTGAGATAATACGCGATCGTAACCGTCTGAAAAAAGAAATGAACGTCTCACGGTCATTTAGTGTACCATAACAAAACTCATTTTAAAATTACACATTTTTGACCCATAGGGAATATAGTTCACATTCACACCTCTCGCCTCTGAGATGAGCTTCAGCTTCTGCGCCCCCGATCAGTAGTTAGTTTAGACTACACGATGCCACCTGCACGAGATAACTGAAACGGCGGCTACGCGAGAGTAGATACGAACTGACGAAGAAGCAGCAGTGTGCGTTCCATTTCTTATTCCTAAGCGACTCCTTCCTCACCTGCACGAGATAACTGAAACGGCGGCTACGCGAGAGTAGATACGAACTGACGAAGAAGCAGCAGTGTGCGTTCCATTTCTTATTCCTAAGCGACTCCTTCCTGACCTGCTCCCTGGTCTGGTTTTATTCCGTTGAGTTGCATTGCTTCCAACAATCAGAGCGCTTCCTCCCAAGTCCCAACAACCCACGCGATCCAGAAACCAGCAGGAAGCACAGTAGTTACCTGCATACCTTTCTCAACCGGCGCCAGTACAAATACGGATGCGCAGCTGCAGGCCCGCATGCAATCCACTGCAGCAGAAGCACAACACAACACGGGACCTGCTTTGTTTGATCGAGCTTCGGAGAGAACCGTAACCTTCTTCTGCTCCATCGACCAGGCGATCGATCCCATCATCTGGCATTGCGTTCTGGGTGAACATGTGCGAAGGCGGAAGGCCGGAAGCAGCATCCATGGCCTCGCGCCGTGGACCGCAGCCGGAGCAGGAGGCTGCGGGCGGTGGCAGAGGAGGAGCAGAGGTGACACGGAGGAGGCCCAGAGGGTGGCGAGCCGTCGCCTTCATCATCGGTCCGTCGCTAGCTGTTCATCCACGCATATGTCTTCAGCTTCGGTGCTTCAGCAATGGCAACGGGATTAATGTGTGAGTGTGTGCGCGTGCGCTTGGCGTGGCATGGGATGCAGGGGTCTACGCGGCAGCTTATATCGCGGGCAACGCCTTCTCCTTCTCCCTCACCAGCTACCTCATCGGCCGTTACAACATGAAGCAGAACGCCGCCACGAACGTGAACAACATCTTCTCCGGCACGTTCAACTTCGCGCCCGTCGTCGGAGCCTTCGTCGCCGACGCGTTCTGGGGCAGGTTCAGAACCCTGCTGTTTGGAACCGTGGTCGGAGTTGCGGTAAGTTTTTGCCTTCTGATCACGTCACATGTTTTCTCTTCAGCAAAAATGTTAGTTGTCCCCAAACAACAAGGCGACATTTGCAAACCACCAGTGGAAAACATCTCGCTGAAATTAAAGGACATTACTATTGTTTTTGGACTAGAGAACGATCGTCGATCGATCAAATGCATGTGACGCATGCATGGCTGATGTGTTTGTTTGTGGTGCCATACAGGCAATGGCGGTTATCACTCTATCGGCGACTGTCCATGAGCTTAAACCTCCAACGTGCAGCCCGATGGCACAGCAAGCCGGGACGTGTGTCGCCCCGTCGACGCTGCAGCGAGCCGTGCTCTACCTCGGCATGGGGCTGCTCGTGGTGTCCGCCGGCGGCATGAACCCGACTAGCCTGCCCTTCGGCGCGGACCAGTTCGACGAGAGGAAAGAGCAGCACAAGGGAGGGCTCGCGCGCTTCTACAACTGGTACTACGCCGTCGCCATGATAGCCACGTTCCTGGCGCTCACCGTCGTGCTGTACGTCCAGGTCAACGTGAGCTGGGGCCTCGGCTTCGCCATCCCCACGGCGCTCATGGCCGTCGCCTTCGTGGTGTTCCTCGTAGGCACCAAGGTGTACATGTACGTGCCGCCCGAGGGCAGCATCTTCTCGAGCGTCGCGCGGGTGTTCGTCGCGTCATGCCTCAAGTGGAGGCTCCCGCTGCCGCACCCCGAGAACGCGCGGCGGCAGGAGGAGCTCCTGTACAACCCTCCGGCCGCCGTTGGGAACGGGCGCCGCGTGTTCAAGCTCCCCCTTACTCTGCAGCTCAGCTTTCTAAACAAGGCGGCCATCGTGACCGACGCCGCCGAGGAGATACGGCCCGACGGCTCCCCGGCGAGGGCGTGGAACCTGTGCAGCGTGCAGCAGGTGGAGGAGGCCAAGTGCCTCCTGAAGATCATCCCCGTGTGGATCTCCGGCACCATGTGGTTCACTGTCGTGACGGAGCTGATAAACTACACGTTCCTCCAGGCGTCAACCATGGACCTCCACATGGGGAAGCACTTCACCATCCCGCCGGCGTCGATCGTCGCTGTGCTCTACCTCTCCGTCGCGCTATTTGTGCCCGTCTACGACCTGCTCATCGCCCGCGCCGCGCAGCGGGTCACCAAGGCAGGACGCGGCATCACCTTGCTCCAGAGGCAGGGCGCCGGGCTGGTGGTCGGCGCGCTGGCGTTCGTGGTCGCGGCCGCCGTGGAGCGGAGGCGGAGGCACTCCGCGCTGGCACACGGCGACGGCATGTCCCCGCTGTCCGTGTTCCTCCTGGCGCCGCAGCTTGCCGTGATGGGCGTGTCGGGTGGGTTCAGCATGGTGGGACAGACGGAGTTCTACAACACGCAGTTCCCAGACCAGATGCGCACTCTCGCCAACGCGGCCTTCTACTGCGCGCAGGGCGTCAGCAGCTACCTGGCCACGCTCGTGGTAAGCATCGTGAACGCGAGGACGAGGCAACACGGTGGGTCTGCGGGCTGGGTCACCGACGACATCAACGCCGGGAGGATCGACTACTTCTACTACGCCATGGCGGTGCTCACTGGAGCCAACTTCGTCTACTTCCTCGTGTGCTCACACTTCTACCAGTACAAGGGCGAGCAGGCTGCTGACACTCCTGCTGGACGTGAACCTGTAACGGACAGTGGTAGCTTAAGCGAGAGTGACGCCGCACTCCTAAAGACATAATAGAAAGCTAAAGAGACTATATATGTTCAATTCTGATAAATAAATTAATTCTTTTTTTTATTGGATAAATAAATTGGTTCTATATCATTCTGATGCTACAACTATAACCAGTATGCATGATTATATAGGACCTTATTCCTAAACAAATTAAAACAAGTAGCCAACTTGGAGGCGAGGAAACAAACCATAGCGATAACCTTTAGATCAATCTCAGTGGGAGTTTTATGTCCCAGTATCTAACACTCTCATACGTTGGAAACAGTATAGAAGAGTTTTATCACCATGAAATTCTCTGTGCTCCTATAAATCTTTCGTCATCTCTTTTCGTAAATATAATGTCATGTCAGCATATTTAATGCTCATAAAACTCTACGAAATCTCTACTGAGACTAGCCTTAAAACAACCTTAATTAAATTAATTACAAACCTTGTCGTCTTGGTTAAAAGTTAAAACTGGTGCTGATCATGACCATTTTAGGTATTGATGGTTTCTCTTTGATGCAGTCCAACTCGACCCACAAATCGCTCCGACACTTGTACTCTTGGCATTACTATTTACCACCAGTGGCTCGTTCACGTCTTGCTGCTGTCCTCACCACACTACATACCCTCCGAATAACCGAAAAACCAGCAACCAATGTTAGCCAACAGTGACAGCTCGCGTCTTGACCCATGCATGCGAGACACGTACTCGTCCCCTCCGTCTTCCTCTTCGTCGTCGCGCTCTGTACCGTCGTCCTACCCCCGCCTCGGTGGCCAAGGTCGACGTCGTTCTTCCAGTCGTCTTGGTTGCCTCCGGTCAACAGAAGAGAGCACGGCGACAGCGCCGACGGCCACCCATGCGACTATTCAGACGGACGATGGGTGAGGGACGATGCTGCCGACGTGGCGACGTACACGGAGGACTGCCCGTTCCTCGACCCCGGCTTCCGGTGCACGCGGAACGGCCGCAGGGACTCGTCCTTCCGGCACTGGCGCTGGCGACCTCGCCGCTGCGACCTCCCTAAGTAGGTAGCCCCCGCCATGTCACGACATCTTCATCTTCTTCCTGGATGTCCGAATCGTGACCTGATGTCAATGGTTTAAGTTGTTTATTAGGTTCAACGCGACGGACATGCTGGAGCGGAGCCGGAACGGCAGGATCGTCTTCGCCGGGACTCGATCGGCCGGAACCAGTGGGAGTCCATGGTGTGCATGCTCGCCGCCGCCGTGCCGCCCACGGCCAGCGCGTCGTCGTCCAGAGTGTACGAGCGGTCCGGGAAGCCGATCAGCCGGCACAAGGGCTACCTCGCCATGGTTTTCGCCGACTACAACCTCTCCGTGGAGTACTACCGCGCGCCCATGATCGTGATGGTCCACCGCTTCCCGGCGGCAAACGAGACAGGCAGCGGCGTGAGGGGAGCCGTCCGCCTGGACGTGTTGCCACGGCACGCCGACCGGTGGGCCGGTGCCGACGTGCTCGTGCTTAACACCGGCCACTGGTGGAACCAGCACAAAACCGTCAAGGCGTACGTATGCATGCCATGGTTATTTTGTACTCAGTGGGTAATTAAGACACTAATTTGAGGTTATTGTGCGTGTGTGGCTCATGAGCAGAGGAAACTATTTTATGGTTGGCGACCACTTGACAAAACCATGCGCATCAAGGACGCTTTTCGACGGTCTCTGGAAACGGTGAAAGATTGGGAACTAAGTAGTGCTCGATTTTCGAAAAGCTATTTCTTCTTCGGGAGTTATTCTCCCTCGCATTACAGGTAAGTTAAGCTAAGTGGTGTTAATTGCATTGTGATAAAGAGAAGTGTGGCTTATGATATGACAATATATTTGATCTAGCAATTGCGACTATTTGAGGAAATCTGCATGACTATAATGCTCTACCAACAATCTATTTAAACCTACTGAACTTTATTTTTCTTCCTAAGTTGTTCACATAGGTAATTGCAGGGCTAAACTTTCCAGTCGTAACCATGGTTTTTCTGCACCTGAAAAATGGCAGCAATGGCACCTGGGACACTGGTGGTTCGTGCGCCGGCCACCGAGAACCACTACTGACCACTAACGCCCACTCCGGTGAAGAGTACTCATGGATGAACGCGATGATTGCCAAGATGACAGATGGCATCAAGAGCCACGGGAGGAAGGCTACGTTTTTTAATATCACTCACATGACGGAGCTCAGACCAGATGGCCACCCGTCAGGGCACAGGGAGCCCGGAACGCCGCCGGACGCGCCGGAGGATTGCAGCCACTGGTGCCTCCCCGGCGTGCCGGACGTTTGGAATCAGGTCCTCTACGCATATCTCTTGTCCACACGGTATGACACGCGCAGGAACAACAGATAATTAGTCGTATTGGTACGTGTATGTAAACTGCGCCGTCTTAGCGTGGTTTGCTCGTAGAAATTAAAGCTAACTAAAATAGGTGTATTGTACTACTACAGTTATATATTGCTTAGTTTTACAATACTTAGAATGTATCTTTCACTATTAGTTCTGTGCTGGCACAACCCATGAACATTTGAAAGGGCTCTTAAGTCTTAAGGGAAGACAATAATCAAACAATTGCATGCATAAGAGTCTTAACCTACAATGGAGAAAAGCTAACCTTACGTGCTGATCTACATATCAATCCTTAAAACCACTACTTTTCAAACTACAAAATCTCCTAGAGGCGGCTGCTTGTGTGACCAGCAACGCTTGTGCCAAGCGCCTGTCCAAATGTACATGGTGGCAAAAAATTGCAGAATCTGCCGGCGACATTGTACTTGTCCTAAGACAACAATATGAATTCTCTTACTTACTAAGAAATAAAAGTACATTATTTTCAAGAAGCACCAAGCGCTCACGCAATTCAAATAAAGAGACACGTCTCGTAGAATTTCTTGTAGTCCATAGGCATACAATCCAAAATCCGTAATGGAAAACAATATACAACTTCTGCACTCGGCCGACTGCTTAGTTAGCCCCACAGTCAGAAGTCATAAGTCTCGTGTTTTTGCACGAAACAAAAGCTTGAGCATTTCCTACAAATCAAACCCAGAACCCTTCCCCTCACGCGATCCTTTGTTACCATCCTAGTATAGAGTTGTTACCAATATGATCATCTTTACTTTCAAACCTTGTCAGAAACAATTTCCATAGGCCGTTCATGTAAGGATCCACATGTGGAAATGAAATTTTTCACATGTTTCTTATGTGAGCCCCCTTGTGAAAATATCTGAAAACATTAGTATTTTTATATCTGTTTGATTGATATGGTTCATTTTTTAAATTTAACAGTCAGTTAGCCTTTTAATTAACCACTGGCCCCACTAAATCCTAAGCCACCTGAACATTTACAATAAGTTGATCCAGGTTCCAACTACGGCCTAAATGCGCCAGCTTGTGCGTAGACGAGTTACTAGACCTGGGAGTATAGAGCAGCTCCACATGTACAAATTTTTCTCTTAGCAAACTGGGTATATATGTACACTAGCCAAAATCAAAGTTTTCTTCTCTAACCTGATTTCTGATATTTAATCTCACTCATGCTGTCTTCTCTGCTGAAACAAACACACCGTCCACATTGGTTCTTAGAAGGTTAGGAGGTTTCTATCTGCAGTTTCTAATGGACTTTTCTCTTTGTTTCTGTGTTGTCCCGGTCTTGATCTCACCATCAAAGAATTGACACTATGCATGACTGCATTGTAAGGCAACTTTTGTTCTCCTGCATTAACCTTATTCCTGACATCTCACCACTTCCAAAGTAAAATCACTGATTTGGGGCATGTTTTTTCATCAAGGGATAGCACATGTCACACCACATGTTTTGTAGACCGAAGGGAATACATAACAATGATCACATGTTATCTAGATCGCGGTCCACACTTATTTCATAATATTGTGTGGCTGAACCGTCCAAAATAGCACATTTTCGGAGGCGCTCGTCTTTCACCATACACTAAGCACCCCGAAAGCTGGCTACATCGGACGGTTCCGTCGAGCACACCCCAAGAGAGAACTCGAACAATAGACATTTTTCCTCCAGGATCCAATAATGAAAACGAGTTTATATTACTTAGTCCATTTCATACGACCAGAGTTCTCAAAAATACATTATTACAATACCAAGTTCAGAGTGCGGAATTTAAATAGCGTAATTATAATAAACATCTAACGATAAGACACAAGGATCCGTCTGTGCCCACCAGAAGAATCATCCACACAACAGCCATTCCTGAAGCTGCACCTGCAACAGGGGTAAATAAACCATGAGTACACAATGTACTCGCAAGACTTACCCGACTAGTGGGAATACTTTTCAGACTCCAAAGGATATGATATGCTTTATGGTTTGCTGGGTTTCCTTTTTACGAAAAGCCTTACTAGTAGTGCATCCTTATGTATGTTTCTTATTAGCAGTCATGATTAGTTCATTATCTAACCATTCTATGTAAGCACTTGTTCTACTTTCAAGTAAGAGTTGAGCAATCAGGTCCATTTTTCCATCTTTCATCTTTCAGTTCTTACTACGGTGCTAGATCGTAGACAAGTAGTATCGTATTACACGACAATTCGTGAATCAATGTAGCCCAGCTGGGTACCCTAAAACACACGCCCCGCTTGTACCCCAGGCACAAGCAGGACCAACCCACCACTCTCCTGTCAAGAGGTCCAGGTCCCCATCCAAACTTGGACTCCAAGCCTCCACACCTGAGTCCCGAACTCAGTGTGGTGCTTAGACCTCCACCATCCCCGCCTCCAATCAGTCGGTCCGGAAAGAGCCGGAACCCACAACAAGAGAGCAACGAGCCTTCCCGCTCTCATAAGCAAGTATGTGCTCAGGATAATAAGTCTGTGACTTGACTAGAATCCAATGCAACGGTCGGTCCTTAACCGACACGGACAGAGAAAACATTGTAACCAAGCTATGCCCCGTTGACCGTGGAATACAACCTCTTACACCCACCAATACTCGTACATTATCCCTGCCCGGTCTCCATCTTCTTTCACCATTTTATCATATGAGTAATATTAATAATCATCTATTGTGAGTAACGGCAGGTTACTCATGCTACCGATAGCCTAAGCATAGCAACTACTCGATATATGCTAGTAGGACTCATAGGTGGTTATCTATGCATGTAGTTTCAATATAAATCCTGTAACGTAAATGCACATCACACACACATATATATATATATATAGATATATCCAGTGACCATTCAAAATAAGGGTTATGCACCGAGGCTTGCCTTGGCCAGGCGGGGTGTCAGCTCCGTCAGTTAGTGGCGGCTCTGAGACCTCCTCCTACACGAGGATCTCCTCCTCGTACTCCTCGATCACCTCCTCGAACTCGTGGTCTCCGATGACCACGATCTCCGCCAATTCGTTCTCTACGTGCATGCGATGATGATGCAACACTTATAACTCTTAAAATAAGAATACATATGCTAAGCTACTAAGCTAGCTCTAATGACTAAGATACTAAGCTAATCATTATCTCTATCAAATAGATTCCAAGCTCACCCTACAAGTGCTTAATTTTTATAAACCAATATCATGCCATTATTCATTTAGCCTTAATGGATATTTAGCTACCATATTAAACAGTCTATTTTAGGGCTACAAAAATTACAGTGAACACATAATAATGCAATGAAGCTACTGTAAAAATTTTAGGGTTTTGCTATCACCAATCTACCACAAAAATTCCTACAATATTTAACCTAATAATATTGAGCATTCTCAAATGATTTAATAGCTCCTGGTATCAATAGGTATATATATAAACTAAATACACTAACAGATAGAGCACAATTTTATAAACTTAATAAAATTGGTTTCATAATTTTTGGACACCTACATGATTTTATATGATTTACCAAAGATCAGCTCAGAAATGTAATTAGAAAACCATTTAACTAATTCGCTTAAAAAAGAAAAGGCGCCGAGTCCAGCGCGACCCACCGTGCGGACACGGCCCACCGCGCGGACGACGAGGGCAGCCCGCGCGCGTTTGCACTCTTGCAAAAACGCCCTCGCGTTACCAGGCATTAGCGCGAGTACTATGCGTACTATTCCTATAGACAACGACTTTGCAAGGAAGCCCTCGTATTCTCTCATCTTCGCATCAGAGAGGTCCCTGACGCCGGCCAACTAGGACCCGTGCAGACCTAGCTAAGGGGTCGACCCTTACCTACGGGCTGACGCGCAACTTCGGGCAGCGGTGGGACAAGTCAAGACACAGTAGAATGGCCTCTCCATGACGACGGGCACCCTACAGCGGCGATAATCATGTTCCAGTGAGCCTTGGCATAAAAGAGGTGATAGAAATAGTGGGTGAGCATCAGCGACTCACCACGCACCAACCCGTGGCGATGGCTTGGCCAGAGACGCCCTGAGCAAGCCTCGTCGCGTGCGCGCGACAAGCGTGACAGTGGGCCGTGGTGGCACGGTCGCGTCAGCGCCGCGAGGGTAGCCGTAGGGGTACTGAAAGTGCATCTAGCCCTTTAGTGGGTTTTGGATGATTGAATGACAACATGATTAAAGGACTAACCCGTTTGCTAAAGTGTGAACAGGTAATAGGTTATCTCATAGATACTTAATGAAAGCCAAAATGATGTGTTGTTGTATAAACAATCTAGTTCAAGCACAAGACAACAATGCAAATGGAATTCATGTGAAGGCTTATTTATTGTGGGATTTCCATGTACTATGTGATAGCAAGCTCATGATTATTAGTTAATGAGACATGATGGATTGCATATGGAATGGTCTCATATCTGAAGCTTGCTAAATTAAAATGAAAAAGATAACAATACATATGAATGGATGATTCAACACAAGATGTGACTTGATGGCTTGAGATGGTGAAGATAGCAAGGAAAGGCTTCGAGGTACTAAGCAAGGGTGAAGGGCAAGCGGCGGCTTGGCGGTCAAGAAGAACCTAGCTAGGGTGAAGAAGAAAGTACTTGCATTTAGTTGAGGTACTAGTCAAGCTAAGATGGTCATATTGATGTGAAGGATCAAATCTATAATGAAGTATTTGATGGAAGTGACTTGATACATTTGGGATTATTCAAACTTGATGAATGGAATCAAGTCACATGCTCAAGATGGCTATGCTCAAGTGAAAAGATCAACATCAACATGTTAGCACCCTTACTTGATGAAGATTGGAAGGACTGGCATCAATTCAAAAGAACAACTCAAGTGGTACAAATTCATATTTCCGCTTTGTCTTGAGTTTAATAGGTATGCCGTACTATTAAGAGGGATGCATCATGTTGATAGATAATGTTTCATAAGTGCTCAAGCCAACCCATGTGAGTTTTGAGTATTTGAGAGACAAAAGAGCTAAT